ACACTAGCACATGTTAGTAGCTAACATTAGCGCATGTTGGCAGCTAATATTAGCGCGTGTTAGAAGCAAACACTCATACTTAGCAGCTAAAATTAGCACATGTAAGCTGGAAACATTAGCTCATGTGAGCAGCAAACACTAGCGCTTGTTACCAGGAAACGTTAGCACGTGTTAAGAGCAAACATTCGCACATATGATTAGCTAACATTAGTTCGTGTTAGCAGCAAACATGAGCACATGTTAGACACAAACGTTAACGTATGTTAGCAGCAAACATTAACGCATGTTAGCAGCTAACGGCGCATGTGAGCAGCAAACATTAGCGCATGTTAGCAGCTAATATTAGCGCGTGTTAGCAGCTGACATTAACGCATGTTAGCAGAAAACATTTGTGCATGTTAGCAGCAAACATAAGCACATGTTAGAAGAAAACATTAGCACATGTTAGCAGCAAACATTAGCACATATTAGCGCATGTTCGCAGCAAACATTAGCCCATGTGAGGAGTTAACATTAACGTATGTTAACAGCAAACATTAGCACATGTTAGCAGAAATCCTTAGCGCGTGTTAGCAGCTAACATTAACATATATGATCAGCTAACATTACCACATATGATCAGCAAACGTTAGCGCTTGTTAGCAGCCAACATTAGGGTATGTTAGCAGGAATCATTAGCACATGTTAGCAGCAAACGTTAGCGCATGTTAGCAGCAGAAATAGCAAATGTTAGCAGCAAACGTTAGCGAGTGTTAGAAGCTAACATTAACATATATGATCAGCAAACATCAGCACATGTTAGCAGCTAACATTAGCACATACGATCAGGAAATATTAGTGCATGTAAACAGCAAACATTAGCGCACATGATCAGCTAACATCACCACATGTTAGCAGCTAACATTAGCACATATGATCAGCAAACATTAGCACTTGTTAGCAGCAAACATTAACACTTGTTAGCAGCTAACATTAACATATATGATCAACAAACATTAACGCATGTTAGCAGCTAACATTAGAACATATGAGCACCAAACATTAACGCATGTTAGCAGCTAACATTAACACATATGATCAGTTAACATTAGCACATATGATCAGCTAACATTGGCACATATGATCAGCTAACATTAGCACATATGATAAGCAAATATTAGCGCTTGTTAGCAGCCAACATTAGGGTATGTTAGCAGGAATCATTAGCACATGTTAGCAGTGTTAGAAGCTAACATTAACATATATGATCAGCTAACATCAGCACATGTTAGCAGCTAACATTAACACATATGATCAGCTAACATTAACCTATATGATCAACAAACATTAGCACATATGATCAATAAACATCAGCACATTAGCTGCTAACATTAGCACATGTTAGCAGGAATCAATATGTGAGCAGCTAGCATTAGCGCGTGTTAGCAGCAAACATTAGCACATGTTAGCAGCTGACATTAACACATATGATCAGCAAACATCAGCACATGTTAGCAGCTAACATTAACACATATGATCAGCTAACATGAACCTATATGATCAACAAACATTAGCACATATGATCAACAAACATCAGCACATGTTAGCAGCTAACATTAACATATATGAGCACCAAACATTAGCACATATGATCAGCCAACATTATCACATATGAACAGCAAACATTAGCACATGTTAGCAGGAATCAATATGTGAGCAGCTAGCATTAGCGCGTGTTAGCAGCAAACATTAGCACTTGTTAGCAGCTAACGTTAGTCCATATTAACGGCTAACATTATCACATATGATCAACAAACATTAACACATGTTAGCAGGAATCAATATGTCAACAGCTAGCATTAGCGTTAGCGCGTGTTAGCATCAGCGTTAGCCGTACCGTCGGGGTCCGGCTCGCGCTGCTGGCGGCGGTGGAAGTGTCCCAGCAGGTTGCGTGCGCGGCGCTCCAGGTCGGATCCGGGGAAATGCAGCTGCAGGTAGCGCAGCAGCTGCTGCAGGCACTCGTACTGCGGAGGGCTCCAGAAGTCCTCCGAGTACTGGTCCAGCCACGCGCCCAAGATGGACGACACCGTGCTGCAAACAGCCACAGGTCAGCTAACGTTAGCGCATGTTAGTAGAAAACATTAGAGCATGTCAGTAGCTAACATTACAGCATGTTAGTTGCAAACATTAGTGCATTTATCAGCTAACATCAGCTTGTTTGAGCAACAAACAGAACATGCTAGCAGTTAAAGGCGCATGTTAGCAGCTAACATTAGCGCATGTTAGTAGCAAACATTAGCGCATGTTAGTAGAAAACATTAGAGCATGTTAGTAGCTAACATTACAGCATGTTAGTTGCAAACATTAGTGCATTTATCAGCTAACATCAGCTTGTTTGAGCAACAAACAGAACATGCTAGCAGTTAAAGGCGCATGTTAGCAGCTAACATTAGCGCATGTTAGTAGCAAACATTAGCGCATGTTAGTAGAAAACATTAACGCATGTTAGTAGCTAACATTAGAGCATGTTAGTAGCTAACATTACAGCATGTTAGCAGAAAACATTAGAGCATGTCACTAGCTAACATTACAGCATGTTAGCAGCAAACATTAGCGCATTTATCAGCTAACATCAGCTTGTTTGAGCAACAAACAG